CGCAACTGCGGAAGAGCGCGTGACGTGTTTCTGCCCCTTGGATGCCAGAGGCAAAGGCTGTCACATGGCGGCTTCTGGAAGCACTGAAGCAAAAAGCCTTGCCATCTCTGAGGGCGCATCTTTTGCTTCCGCCGGCTTCCGCCGGCGGAGGCGGCCGGCCTCGTTTTACTCCCGCCGCCTTCCGCTTCCGCCGCGGAAGACATGGCAACGCCTTCGATCCTCGAAGGCGAGGCCCTTTTGGAACGCCTCACATGTGACGGCCTTCTCTGCAGTTGCCGCAGAACCGCCACACAGAAGGCGGCGCTGGCACATTAGCAAAACAAAACGCAGGCACCCGAATACCTCTGAGGGGGAGGGGCATCCTCGCCTGGGCCCCACAATGTCGTCCTCTGTTTGCGGGCCCTCTGGGAGGAACCATCAGCATCGTCTGCCTGTATCACTGACTTGGAGAATATCAGCTGGGAGGACTGAGAAGGAAGGAAGGTGGGACCTCTGTGCCCCCACACTCCCAGCACGAGCGGACAGCACTCGTTTGTTAACGGCGCCCGCGCTCGCCCTACGCGCGACTGGCGCGCTGACATTGCAAATGTGAAGATCGCGCAACAAGGTTGACTCCAGCACGAGGATCGAGGAGGGGATCGAGGATAGGTCAGTCCCACTTGCTGGACGGTTTGGACGCTTTCTGGGCGTCCAGAGGCTCCCAGAGATCCCCTGACAGAGGGACCTCCGCAGGCATCCCTGGGAGGCCTCCACGGAGACCTTTCTGGATGTCGCCTGTCGTCAATCTGCCCGCTTTGCCCGGACCCAGGAAACCCGTGGACCCGCACTCCTGGACTGGCCAGAACGGCACGTGCACCGATGCTGGTCGTGGCCAGGATGGTCACAGGTGCATGCCTTCTGGGCCAACAAACTCCGCGCACCGCGTCTCACGATGCGCGACGCGCCACTATTGTCGCGCCCTCGCGCCCTCGTGCCGCCCCCTGGGAGAAGCGCAGCCGCTTTGGCACATAACGCGACGCGCGAAGCGCGAATAACGTCGGGCCCTCGCAGGTGACCTGGATTTTGATGTCCGCCGATTGAGGAGCGGGAGAAGAGCAAGGGGGGGAGCGGCGCTTCAAAGTGGGCGCCTGCCATTCTGTGAAGGCAGCGGCAGCACTGTGACGACGGGTGCCGCTCGGAGACGACACCCGCCAACTGCCGCTCAAAGTAAGTGGAAGTGCCCCTACCGTGTTCTGTCGACAGCCTGGGACGAATTGGCCCGGTCTGATCTGTGAAAGGACCGTTCCAATCGTTCCTGTGCCAGGCGTCGCCTCGTCGCCGCCCGAAAGCGGCTGCACTCTCACTGTACCAACGCTGGCCTGTGTCTGTGTCTGCCAGGGCACAAGTGACTGTGGAGCGCCATGCCACGCCCGCTGGCACGGCCGCTCACAAACCCTCCTGGCGGCGGGGGGTGCAGCAAGAGCTCGATGAGGGCGAGGAGAAGCTGGAAGGGAAGAAAGATCATGGTAAAAGGGGGAGGGGTTGCGATGATGTCGATTCGGATAGAGCTGGTTGTAGGGGAATGGTCATGTGATGAGGGTGGGGATGGCAGGAACCTGCGCCTGGGGATCATGAAACATACTCAGCGCTGGGCATCTCGGCAGCTGGCTTGCAGCTCGAGGTAAACCCACAAGCACATCATCATCATCATCATCATCATCATCAGCAGCAGCAGCAGCAGCATCATCATCAACAACAGCATCGTCATCATCAGCAGCATCATCAGCAGCAGCATCATCATGATCATCAGCAGCATGAGCAGCATCATTAACAGCATCAGCATTGATATCAGCATCATCATCAGCATCATCACAATAATCATCATCAGCATAATCCCCATCACCATCATCAGCAGCATCACCATCATTATCAACATCATCAGCATCAACCTCATTGTCATCATCATCATCATCAGCAGCAGCATCATCACAATCACCATCATGAGCATCATCATCAGCAGCATGCTCGATATTGACAGCATAAACATTCTCTGCATCTCATCCGCATCTTCAAAATCAGCAGCAGCATCATCAGCACTAGCATCAGCATCAGCATCAGCATCCATCATCATCCTCATCCCCATCCTAATCCTCATCCTCATGATAATCCTCATCCTCATCATCATCAACATCTCCAACATCATCATCACCATCATCACACTCACCATCACCATCACCATCATCATCAATATCACATCATCATCAATATCATGAGTATCATCAGCATCACCATCAGCATCAGCATCATCATCATAACCATCAGCATAACCATCATCATAATCAGCATCAGCATCAGCATCATCATCATCATAATCATCATAATCATCATCAGCATCGTCATCAACATCATCATCATCATGTTCGTGCATGTTGTATGCTTCCAAGGCGAGCATGTACCTCGTCAGTTTACACCCTTTCGCTGCTAGCACTGAGCTGATGTAAAGAGGGCATCTGTGTTCTATCCCCTAGCTGCCTCGAATAAAAAACATGCCTGCCAGGAAGGGTCTCCGCCCATCGGGCCACGCCGACCCCACCCCCCACCCTTCTCCCACATCCGCCCTGCGGCCTCCTTTCGCCCTATCTTTGCCCCGCCACCCTTCCCCCCCCCCGTCCCTTCCCCACAATACCCTCCCCCCCTCCTCCACCCCCCATGCTCCCCTCTGCATCCCCCGACCCCTCCTGCCTCCTCCCCTCGCGTGTGGAACGCCGCTGCCAGAACAGAAACGCACGGGCCCGCAGGACATCCACAACGGCCCCGAGACCCGAAGCAAGAACCGCACGGGCAAGCCGGGCCGAGGCGTCCAGGCCACTAGCGTGGGTATGTTACTGGCCACGACTGAGCACCGAGCACTGGCACAGCAGCAGCGGCACTGAGCAACCAGCAGTGGCACTGAGCACTGGCACTCGCAGCAGCAGTCACGCGCGACCCCGCTGCTGAGCACAGGCGACGCCCAGACCACGGCAGAAGGCGGAGAGCGGAGGCGCCTTCTCCAACGACTGCGCTCGTGCGGGATGTTAAGCGATGCGCAGCTCGCGTGGACCTGAGGGCCGCTGTCTTGCAACACCCGGGGAGGGACAACGGAGGACACAGACGTAAACAGAAACGTTCAGAGGTCCGCGCAGGATTCTTGGGCTTACGCTGGACTCCCCTGGCTGCGTGGGCTCCGCACGCCAGGGGTGGGTGTCCAGCGCGATGTGCAATGACACGTCAGGCACTGCAGCGTCCAAGGCCGTCCGCGGTGACCGCAAACCGAAAACCGACCGAGCTGGCAGCGAGGCCGAAATCGACAGGCCAGGCCGCAAGCAGCCCAGAAGGGCGCAGCGACGCAGCAACGACACAGCGCCCGACCGAATGCGACCGACTGCGACGCAGCCAAACCGACAGAACCGCGGACACCCTTAACGTCCCCCATGAATCCTCCACGGATCCTTCCTGGCCCCGTGCTCGAGGTGCTGTCTCGACTGGGGCAAGTCGGCGGCGAGCGAGGGGGGGCGTGAAAAGGAGAGAAGGCCTTCTCGGAAGGCGGCGGGGCTCCTCAGGAACCCTCCGGCCTTCTGACAAGTCTCCTGCCTCCGGGGAAGGCTTAGGAAACTTCTCATCCGAGTCTTCTGAGAAAGCCCGCCCGTTCTCGCTTCCCCCCAGGCTCGCCGCCGAACAAGCCACGAGGGGAGGCGAAACCCACACGCGCAGCGGCGGCGCGCGGGGGAGTCCGAGGAGCCAAAGGACGACTGGCCACAAAAGAAGCGGCAAGACTTAGGTTGGGCCTGTCTCCCTACCAGGGGGATTTTGGACGGAAAACAAAAAAAAATCCGCCGGCCCCCATGTGGGGCCACCAGGCTGTAGACCGGGAATTCGCAGTTTCCTGTACCAGTTGCAGCTTCCAGTTTCCACTGTCACAGTTCGCTTCTTGCTGCTAACTGTTCCTTGTTGATTTCTTGTTGCTTGCTGTTCCTTGTTGATAGACCGCGCGAGGGGGGGAGGCCTAAAACGAGCATTCTTACCACGGCCAGAATGTATGCTCTGAATTGCTGGGGGTGGGTAAATAAGTTCACACCCCTCACGCAGATCGGCGGGGCCAGGGTCCAAAAACACACGGGATGTGCCGCATTTCTAACATTCGGTGGCACCCCTCGCGCAGATCGGCGGTGTCAGGGTCAAAAAAACACATGGGATTTGACACATTTTTGTAAAATTCGGTGGCACCCCTCGCGCAGATCGGCGGGGTCAGAGTCCAAAAACACAATGGGCTTCCCACCTTCCTGAAATTCGGTGGCACCCCTGACGCAGATCGGCGGGGCCAGGGTCCAAAAACACAGTGGGTTTTGTCGGAGCGCGCGCGGATGCGCACGGGCCCTTTTCGGCGCACGGGCCAAAGAGGGCTGCAGTCCACCTCTCTCCCTTCTATGCTACACTGCTGATGCTACCTGCTGCTACCTACATCTACCTACCCACACCTAGATGACTAAACAACTGATGGGTCTAAAACTACATACTGCAATCAGAAATTCCCTTGAACACGCAGGATGCCTCAACACCCCATCCAGGCGTCTGTAGCCCAACATGGCCTTCGATCATGCATGTCAGGGATCACAGTAGACCGCAACCTAATGTCGGGTGGCTGCCGAGCCGCGCCGGGAGAAGAGTGGCGAAGTCTACTGCTGTAAAAGGCGGTCGGGCCAGCTGCCCGAGCAGTTCCTGCATTCAGCGATGCTCAAAGGTCGCCCCTCTCTGTCGTCACCACGCGAGAGTTGATCAGGCTCCAGCCATGTAGCGACACGCCCAACCCGATCAGTCCAGAAGCGGGTACCTAGGTAGACCAGGGTTTGCTGGCATTGCTGTTTTTGCCGGGTGAAAGTTGTTTATTTCTGAGCCTGCCTTGCTGCTGCTTCGTCGGGTGCTTCCCGGCGCGGCTCCCGAGCCACAGCCGGCGTTCCTCCCTTCGTTGCGTCTCCGCAGCTCCCTCAGCCATAGGGGAACTCCCCTGCCTGCGCGGACCGCTGGGCCGCAGCAGGGCCATGCCCGCCAGCATGCGCAGCAGCGCATCGCGCGCGGTTGACGCGACTGCAACCACGCTGCTCGCGCCCCTTCCGGGGCCCCGGGTGGCTCACAGAGCCACGCCGTGCTCCGCCAGAGATCCTGGTTGGACCTCCAAGCGCCCTGAGTGGGCCTGCAGGCCGCGTCAGGCTGCCGCAGCCCACCTTCGTAGGCGTTTGCGGCCTTGGGTCAGCACTGCCAGGAATGCTGCCACCCATCCCGTGCTCAAGCCCTCTCTCAAAGGCTCTCGCCTTCGTAGCGGCATCATCTCGAGTTGCTGGTCCAGCCGCGCTGTCGGATGTGCCTTCGTACCGAGGTCTGCCCAGTTGACAGAGCCGTCAACCTTGAGCAGCTCCCCGCGCTTCTCTCGGAAGAACTCCTGCACCCACAGGTCCTTCACAGATAAATGGCGCACCTTGCCGCTGCCCTGCCCGTTACAGGTGCTCCGGGCCGTCGCAGAGTCGCTCAAAACCACCAACTTGCACGGCATACGCGTCATCGCCTCGATGATCTGCGTCGTCTGGACACCCATCGCCGCGCCTCTGACGATGGCATAAGACTCTGCCTCCCCAGAGCTCAGCGCAAGCAGTGACTGTTTAGACACGCTCATGTCGATCAAGTGCTCTCCAAGACGTTCATCTACACATGACATGCTCTTCCTCGTCTCTTTGTCGGCGGCCCAATCAGAATCGCAATGCTCAGTCAGATGCGTCGGCATCTTCTGGTGCGCGAAGATCCAGATCTCGCTGGGATGATCAAGGAGGTAGCGAACGCACCGGTGCAGACGCAACGCGTGCATCTTCGTAGGCGTCGTCATCCCCTCCACGACCGTGCTCGTAGTGAACTTGACACTCGGGACATCCTCTGCCAGGTACTGCAGGGCACGAGCCGCTGTCCTGAAGACCTGCGCCGGCCCCGTGCCAAGAGGTTCTGCGATGTCTCGGTCACCTTTCCCGGTGACTTTCCACGAGGGCGTGGTCATGCCCCGGGGCGATCCAGGCTGTAGACCTTGCAACTCCATCAGACTGGTGATGCGTTCCAAGTAACCCTCCCACTCGAATCCACAACTAGTCCACCGGATCGTTCGCTCGAAGTGCTTCAGCTCCGCGGCTTGTCCTCCACGCTCTGGCGGTCCGATACGAGGGGGGATCATGACCTCAAAATGGCGTTGCATGATCTTGTCAAGCTCGTCTAACGCCTCCTTCTCTGCCTCTGCCTGAAAGTCGCCACCGCGACATCCGAGACTGACGTCCAACTCGCAATGTACGAACACCATCGGCACAACCATGATCATGACGAAACCATCCTCCGTAAGAGCTTTGATCACGTAAGTGCCAAACTGCTTGCTCGCCTCCCGGGTGCCATGCATGGCCTTTCGCAGCAACCACACAAAACCTTCCTTTCCTACGTCTGCCGGCGGGGTGACTGCTGTCTTCCCCGTCGACTCCGCGTGAAAGAATGCAACAGAAACGCCGTAACTTGCCCAAGTGCCGTCTGAGCGCTGCTTGGACGCAGCGAGGCTTGCGATGATCCTAAATACCTTTACTGGTGGCGTGGATTGCGTCACGTCCTCTCGAACGCACGTGTTCACCTCTGTTGCAGCGAGGCGCGCGCGCGCTGCTGCCGAGCCCGCACCCGAAGGCTTCGGTTCAAGAACCCACTTGGCGTTGACGATGTTCAACCTTTGCTTCCGGGCTTCCGACCAAGGAATATCTTGCTTCACTTCGCAAGCGTCGATGTTCCTCATCTCCTTGATCTTGCCTTCGCGCACCTTTTATGGGTCCAGCTTCACGCCGGCCTTCGTGGAGAAGTACTCCTTGCTCCAATCCACGTTGATCGGGGCCACTTCTGGATCCCTCCCCACCATGGATGAACAGAGGTAGGCAACTGCTGTGCCCGCGGCTGCCACTACGAGGCCGGGCTCGTGCAGCGTTGGCAGTCCAGCGATCGTTCTCGACCGTTTCTCGCTTGGTCCGTCGTCTTCTTCGCCCATTTCGTGGTCTGGGGCTTCCACGGGAGGCCTTGGCAGCTCCTGCTGCTGCTGCGCGTGCACGTCAGACACGTCTTCAGACGCAGGTGCGGCACGGTGTGGCTCCTGAGCCACTCCCGCTGCACCTCCGGGCCTCCCTGGGTCCTCTGGTGCTCGCAGTGGTGCGGGCGGTGCTGGTGTAGGGGCCGCTGCTGGCGGCGCGTGTGCAGCAGCTCTTTGACGCTGCCCCCGGGCCTTCTCCTGGGCCTTCTCCTGCACCTCCTTCTCTGCAGCGACTAATCACGCGAATCGGCCCTACAGGCAGGCGCGTGCCTCGCCTCGCCTGGCGCCTTGCATCCAGGGCAGTCAGGCGTTTTGCCTAGACGAATGATGCGGTCCACGGTGATATACACATCTCGAGGCTTCGGCGGCCCTTCCGGCAACTCCCGGGCAGCCGGCGGCACTGGTTCCCACGGCGATCCGACGAAAGCGTCTAAGAGCTGCTTGTTCCAGCGTTGCTGCTCGGGCCTGCGCCAGATGCTCCTGCGCGTGAGCACACCTCTGGACGCGCCAACAAGATGTTCGTCTGCTCTCATGCTCTTCCCGAGCCAGACCCCGAGATGCCACCTGTCGTCTGCCTTCCCCGCGGAGGATAGCGGTGACTTGTGGTGCACGCACTCACCAAACTCCACTATCTCGCCGAAATAGTCCTTCCCGAACAACCGGCTGCAGGGAGTTTTACCGTCTGTTTTCACCAGAAAACGAACCAGCAACCATCCAGCATGGCGAACGAGCCACGGCTGGATTTTGGCGCTGAGAGGAAGCACCTGTTTGTACACGGACTCAAGCGTGTGCTTCAAAGCCCCTTACTGTTTCTCCACCTCGTAGTTACTACGCTCGATGAGACCAGCGCTCTGTGAGGATTCCTTCGGCGTGTTTCGCTTTGACGCGCTATGTTTGCTGCTGCGCGTCTCGATGAAAACATCGATCAGACGATTGATTGGCCTCTCGCCATCAGAAAGCAGCAACATATTCGTGCGCCCGCAGAAGTGCACAGCTTCGCTCATCAGTGCTAGAGCGTAGTCGTCTTCGCCCTTCTGGTTCACCATGCCTGGAAACGGCCCTCCGGACTTAGCGTCCAAGACGTTCAGCACTGCGTGCATCTCCTGCTCGTCTGTTTTGGACGTTAAGAAAAGATAATCAACGCAGATCTTGGGCACTGCTCCCTCAGCCTCTGGTTCCTGCTGCGCGTGGGGGCCCTCCGTGGCCTTCCCTGACGCGCAGTGGTCGCACCGCGACCTAAATGGCAGGTGTGTGAGCTGATGGGAGTCCCACTCAGCCTGCGTGACTGTAAGTGGAATCTTCTTCGCCCGGGGCCTCCTCGCTTCCTCTGAACCTACCGTCGGAGTTGGCGGTCGGTTATCTGGTCGCGCAGGCGCGGGCGCTGGCCCGCGGGGCGCCTGCAGGGGCGGATTCCGATCCGCGCTCCCGCTCGAGCCCCCTTCCTGCGCCGTGGGGTATCTTTCTGCTGCCTGCAGTTCCTGAGCCGCTGGCGGATCCGCCACTGGCGGTGTGAGCACCTTCTTTGCAGCTTTCGCTGGGCAGAGAGGTCGCGTTTCTCCTGCCGGCTGCTCGTCCCAGAGCTCCAGCCAGCACACGCCTCTGCCTCTGCCCGTGTCTAGGCCAGGCGTCGCCCGCGCTGCCCGGCGCAAGCCTCGGGCATCTCGCGACGAGATGACCTTCTGAACCCCGGGGCCGAAAACCAACCAGTTCCCTGCGCTGCAGGCGTCCAATGCAGACACCGCAGGCACTGTCACCTGTTCACTTGAGCTGCACCTCAACGCGACCCCCGCGCCGTCGGCGGCTTGCAGGTGGGACCGCCTGCCGTCTCGTAGGCGGACCTCCTCTCCTGTGGCTGTCGCAAGCGTCGCAGGCATCACAGACGCGTCTGCCGCGGCGGCAGCGTCGAAGGGCGTGGGGCACACGGACGCTCCCGCTCCGGCGTCCACCATCACCCTTTTCGGCCCCTGGAGCGCCGCCAGGCGGTCTGTCTCCAACGCGGGAAGCATCGGCAACAGGAAGCCATGACTGACCTCGTCACGGTCCTGCAACAAGGCGGCGTGCGGAGCCGCAGTGTCGCTGCCTCCCGGTAGTTCAGGAGGTTGCTGCCAGCTTCTTCTTGTCCTTGACGTATTTGGCATTATTCTTGCACTAGGCGGCGATGTTGCCTTTCTTACCACAGTACCAACAGTCTTTCTCAGCTGCTCCTGCCCTCGCCTTCCCTTTGGGCTCTGAGCCCTTTCCATTGCCTTTCCCGTATCCTCCTTTGCCTTTTCCGCCCCCCTTCTCGCCTGTCCCGTCTCCCTTCTTGCCTTTTGGCGTTGCGCCGAGTTCCACCGGCTTCGGTTGAGAGTTCAGGTACTGCTCTGTTCTAGCCATGTCAAGGAGTTCCTCCTTCATGGCCATCCACGTCTCCAGTCTGGCGGAGTTCTTTACCAAGTGCTGCTGGACGGTCGCGTCTACCATGTTGACAATCACAATGCCAATCTTGAGGTCCCCATCGAAAGGTTGCCCCGCCTGTCCTTCGCACTCGCGAACCAGATGCTCGAGCTGGTCGAGAGACTGCGCGATGTCCCCAGAGAATTTTGCAGTGAGGATCATCTTGATGAGCAACCCCACCTTCCTCGTCCGGACCTTCGGGCCCCAGTCGAGGATGGCTTGCCGCCGCGCCTCCAGACCCTCCCCGGGAGGAACGGTAGACATCTTGTCCTGAGCAGCATTGCGGAAGAGCATTACCATCACGTAGCACAGCTGTGACGACAGACTGGCCTCCCATGGCTCCAGGGACGCGTTCGTCACCACTGTTGCTGTGGCCTCTGCCCGCGCCAGAAGGGCTGGGTAGCGCGGGTCTAGCGCTGCAAACTACGCCCTGAAGACGAACGACCACTCTGGCCATGTCGCCCGTTGTCCTAGATAGGTGTCTGGTTTACCTATCAAACGCGTATCGACACACGGCTGGAGTACCGATCCAGCCCCTTGCGGTGACGACGCCTGGGCGGAAGCTGAAGCAGAAGTAGGCGACGCACGCAACTCTTCGATTGCTGCCACAAGTTCCGTGATCTGCCCCGCCTGAGCCCTGACTTGGTTATGTAGCTCTTCTACTGTAGACATGACTGCTGCCTAGAACGCGAACGGTCGCAGGCGGCTTCCCGAGCCGCTCTGCGCTCCTCCTAAATCTCGTCCAGATACTCGAGGAGTTCTCCCGCGTCAGCGCGGCGACGCTCCCACTGGGAGATAGAAGCTCGCCTGTTCTCCAAGGTGCGGCCGACGTCCCCGAGCAGAGTGTCTGCCTCTGCGCCGTCAGGGAGCTCGCCCCGCCTCTCCTGGATCGACACGAGCTGCTCTGCCTCGTCTGGCGCAAGCCGAACGAGCGTCGAGATGTCAGCCTGCTACGCGAGACAGAACTGGCGCACCACTTCCTGGTACTGCTCGCCGTTGGTCCCCAGCAGTTCGCCCGAGAGTTGGTCCGGCTCGTCTTCCCGGTCCAAGTACGGGCGGCCTTCCACCACGGCACGCCGCAGCGGCTCAGACCTGGCGGCGGCGATTCGCTGCGACTTCCTGCTGGAGCGGCGCGTCCTCAACGCTGATACCCAGATCAGCGTAGCGCCTCGCCTCCAGGTTGCTCGCCAAAGCCTCTGAGGTGTCCTGGTCGCGCCCCAGGATCAGCTTGGTGACCCAGCGTCGGTGGCGAAGCTCCGTAGCCTCCACACTCCGACGCTCTCCGCGGCGACGCTGAGACGGCTCCTGAGCCGCACTCGCGTTCCGGCCCGTATCGTGGGCAGACGGGTGGCCCTCACCACCGGGCTGGGCGCGGCGCTGCGGCCGCGGCTGGTGGCGCCAGGGGGCGCCAGCCAGGTACCGAGGGTCGCCCCCAGTCCTGGAGGAGGATGCGGCTGCCGAGCCGCTTGGCGAAGGTCCTCCGGAGCTGCGGTGGCCCTTAGGAGGCATACCACAGCTCTGCCACCATGTCGGAGCACGCGCGGCTGCGCACGGGCCCTTTTCGGCGCACGGGCCAAAGAGGGCTGCAGTCCACCTCTCTCCCTTCTATGCTACACTGCTGATGCTACCTGCTGCTACCTACATCTACCTACCCACACCTAGATGACTAAACAACTGATGGGTCTAAAACTACATACTGCAATCAGCAATTCCCTTGAACATGCAGGATGCCTCAACAGGTTTGCCACATGTTTGTAAAATTCGGTGGCGCCCCTCACGCAGATCGGCGGGGTCAGGGTCCAAAAACGCCACATTTCTGAAATCTGGTAGCACCCCTCACGCAGATCGGCGGGGTCAGGGTCCAAAACACAAAGGATTTGCCACATTTCTGAAATTCGGTAGCACCCCTCACGCAGATGGGCAGGGTCAGGGTCCAAAAACAAATGGGAATTGCCACATTTCTGAAATTCGGTGGCACCCCTCACGCAGACCGGCGGGGTCAGGGTCCAAAAACACATGGGATTTGGTCAGGGTTCAAAAACTCAGGGGATTTGCCACATTTCTCAAATTCATTTGACAGCGAGTACAACAATAGACTCGAAATCTGCATTCGTCTTGCCAATTACCCATCGTCTTCGCATGAAGTTCCGACACTGTTTCACGGTGAAGCCAAAGCCTCATGACTTCGCTCTTCCATGGCCCACTCTCCGAGAGAGGGGGCCGGCGGCAGGGGGCGAAGCCCTTAAGGATATTCACAAGATGCCCAAAAATACTCAGAAAATAATCTCCGGACTATTTTTAACTATTTTTGAATATTCCCCCTGTAGAGGGACAGGCCCGACTTAAGGCAAGACGGCAGAGTGCGGCGGGTAACGTGAACAGACTGTGACAGCGGGTGGAGGACGAGGATCAAACTTTAGGGCGCCCAGCCTGACCAGTTTGGGCCCTACGTTGAAGAGCTGCCTTGCATTTTTGTTGGCGTGTAACGTGAATGCGAAACACATCGATTCTACAAATCAACGATGTGTCCAGGGAGACCCACGCGTCGCCCAATCTCGAGAACTTCCGGTTGGCGTCGTCTGCGACGTCTGTCAATTTCGGGGACCCCCGCAGGATCAGTCAGCATCGAATTGGACCGCATCGGAATGTACATCGGCTCGGGACGCATCGGCACAGAGTCGGAATCGGGTCGCATCGGCGGCGCCAAGATGCACAGCAGCGCCATGCCAGCACGGGACCGCATCGCATCGTCGGCACAGATCGGACTTGCACCGGATCGGACAGGCCGGGATCGACATCGAATCGGATCGATCGGGTCGAGATGGGCCCCTGCCCCGTCGGGCGCAAGGGCCCGCCGCAGCAAAGGGCTGCGCCCCGCGGCGGCGTGGCCCGTCGCAGCGAGCCGACGCGTGGAGTGCTGGGCCTGCCGCGCCCTGGCCGCAGTTGCTTCGTCGCGCGAGGAGTGGTGGGCCGATGTCCCACCAGCGCCGCTGCCACAGGTGGGACCAGCAGGGGGCCCGGTCGTGCAGCCGTGGACGGGAGCACGGGCCAGCATCAGGCCAAGCTCGCCCCACACGCCACTGGCACGCGCGAGGTCAGACTGGGCCGTGCCAGCGCGAAGCGTGCAAAAAGACACAAACAGAACTGGAGAGCAACATCCTCCAGGGGCTTCCCAGTCTTGGGATCCTTACCCGCACGCACGCAGGAAACATTATACCGCTGCCTACTACGTGCAGGTGGGTGCTCAGAGGGGCCTTTACACGAGTCGGCCCCTAACTTACAGCTGGCGACGTGTCCAAACGACACCTGATAGGAGCCGCCAGGGTGCGCACCATCGCACCACGGGTCACCAACACCTGGTGCCCATTGAGCTCGACGATCGCTTCATCAAGCGGCGCACAACCAGCCTCGGGCCCCCTGATTCGCATGAGCGGACCCCTCGTCGCCAAAAAAAAACCGCGTCAGACGCCTGTAACGCAGCGGCAACAGCATGGGATCTCCTCGAAGGGGCTCTGTGCAGCTGGAGGTCCCATAGCGTTGTGGATGGCATGACAATGGACACTCTAAGGATCCACTCATTGAATTGAAAATTCGCTTAAAATGTGTAAAACATGTTCAAGCATGTTTCAAACATGTTTTGACATAGTTAAGGCATGTTTGAAACATGTTTTAGACATCTGGAACGTATTTGGCAACACGCCTCCTCTCCATGAACCGACTTCCACAACCATAGCGCCTTGAGCCTGTGTTGGGCCGTCGGCGTGCGTTCTGCCAGCAGTGATGTAGTGAGGCTGGCAGGAGTCCCGGCCACGGCCAGGCACGCTCTACAGGGGAACAAGGGGCCCCGAGTCAACGCACTGTGCCTGGCGAGGCCCACAGTGTAACAGGGGATGCGTCGACCCCTATCCCAGGCTCCGTGAGGTTTTCGAGAGGATCAACAATTTGGGGCCCAACCCTGGGATATACGAGGGGGGGGCGTCCATCCTCGACAGGGGTGCGTCCGAATAGCCCCCTCGGGATGTATCCCAAGATTCCTCCCCTTTTCTGAGCGACCAAACTTTTCTGGCGGAAGTCGGGGATTGGGGGAGAGAAATCGCCTGCGACAGTGCGCGTCGGGGCGTCTACACGCAGGACCCTGGAGCGCCTGCCACTCAGAGCATCACACTGGGTCATCCTGCACGCACACCGCGCCATGGACTTTGCCTCCATCCGTGCGTCCTGAAGCCGACTCTTGCTTGAAAGCACGAGCGAGCTGGCCACTGCATGGGTGGACGCGCCAGCCGTCGCAAAAAAATCAGCCCATTCGTTGCCCAAGAACTACTCCCAGGGATGGTGATTCATTTCCAAGAAGTCGACCGCCATCTTGTGGGCTGGGCACCAGCACCAGTAACATGTAAGCGGTTGCTACCCTTGACTGAGATGGTAATATTTCGCCTGACGTCAGCATACTGAGCGTGGACATCCGCCGATACAGAGGTCCAGTCAGGGTTTTTTTGCACCAGATTCAAGAGGTCTGCGACCACGAGCGAAACCACAGGCAGCAACTGGAGAGCGAATAAGAGCGCCGTGGGCTCCCCACGACCAACTGTCTGTATAGGGCGGGCCCATGGACCGTAAGCAGCACGAACTGGAAGACCGCGATCCCCTCACTGGCAACATCCCCATACACACCGTCGAAATTCAAGCCACGATGGGGCCATCCCCGAGCCATCCGTGAAGACCACCGTGGACCATGTGGTCCTATCAGACTCCCAATCACCCCATAGCGTGTAGGAGGCCCCATGGGGTGCATGTGGGAGGGAAATGAGGGCACAACGGCATGCACGTAATTACATAGACTGGTCCAATCCCTGTCAGGAGGGCTGGAAGCAAGCCCACGTTCCTTCTGAATGTTTTACGTGTGATCCATCTTGGGGTTCCACTGGAGGTCTTCGTCTACCGAATCCGGGTACAAGCTCGGACATGCAAAGAACTCGTGCCCGAAGGTGGCTGTGTCGGCCGATGACCACGCACATCGAGCAGACATGTTATTGCCAGCCTGGTGCTGTCCCTGGTCCAGATCGCACCTGCCCACAATTTGCGGATCGCACCAGCACAACGGGGATGACGGACGGCAACGCTACGTCGCCCAACACATTTACTGGCCTGCCACCTTTCAACCCCTTGTCGCACCAGCTCACATACAGACTTAGGCGGTAGACATAATAGATATATGGCGTAGGTTTCGCCGTCATAGAGTACAGTCCATAATACTACACGCCATTCTCCACCCTGTCCGCTCTGACGTCAACCAGAGCACCTCCAAGGGCCCACAAATATCAGACCAGGAACTGCTGTTGTTGCGTTTCATCTGTTCGGCTGAATCCAGGCTCGTTGCGATGGCATAGCGACCTCACGTTACGGCTCACGCGGGCCGCCAGCGCGGCACACCGCGTGGAGAAGGGGGCGCTCACGCGCGACATTGCGCGGGCAGCCTGCGCGCCAGTGCCCGTGCAGACGACCCCGCTTGCCTGCGTCGCCCACCTGGGCGCCACCACGCCTGGCCAGAGACGGCCTGCGCTGGACCGAGGCCTTCCTGCCCTCGCCCGGGAGGGCGTCTGCACGTTTGTTGGGGTCTGCTGCAAAGGGTTGTCCTGCTTCCGCCAACTTGCGCACCCCTGTGGGTGACCCAAGCCTGCGGAGGGCACACAACCAGGGGGCGGCCAGCGGCAGCTTCTGTGCCCCGGGGCTCCTCGGACGACGTCTGCGCCATCCTGGGGCCCATGATGGCCCTGGCCAGGCGTGGTTCTCTTGTACAGGTGCGCTGCGCCAGGCGAGCGTGTGCCGATGACAGGGACGCCGCCCAGGCGCCATCGGGGGGGGGGGGGAAGGGGGAGCCCTCACAGGCGACTGGATGGCCCCCTGGTCTCGTGGCATCGCTCCGCTTCTGGCTCGCGCCCCCTCCGCGAGCCGACGAAACGCTGGGAACGAACGGAAACTGCTGCAGAAGAAAAAGAAGAAGAGGAAGGAACCACCGCCATCGTGCTACAAGAAGGAGCGCTGAACAAGGAACCAAAGGGCTCTTCTGGCCACGGCGGGCCTGGGCCGCTGACCAGTTCCCCGACCTGGATCGAAGGGGCGCCCGAAAAAGACAGAGCCCCTCCTGAGCCGGAAGCGGTGCCTACTTCAGCGCGCTGGCTGCACATGAACACGAAGGTTCGGAAGTCCGCGCGGACATCTCGGGTCGGCGCTGGGCCCCCGCTCCACCCAGCGCCCAGCGCGCCAGGGGCGGCGCACCAGGGCCACCAGCGCCGACCCAAGAGATCAGCGCGGACCTCCGGATGTGCATGCTGTGCACAGAGACATACGGCAGGAGATCTAGGGGCACGCTCGTCGTCGATCTCTGCACTCCTGGGGGTGCCCTCGCGGCTTCTTCGGGACCCCGAGGGCCATCGGGGGACAAAAGACGTCAGGAGGGGCTCCTGCTGCCGGGCCGATCTCGTGTCGGTCGTGCCTACTTTAGCTGCTGGTTGTTCGAAGCTGGCGTGCAGCAGTGGCGGAGCGTGCCTCATCTCTCAGTGATGACCGGCGGTGACCATGCTGTCCACTGCGGCCTGGCGCGCGGCGGCCGCAGAGAGGGAGGCGGGTGCGTCGTAGCTCGCGGTGGCCGACACCCTCGGGGCAGGGCTCGCAGGCACGCAGAGGGTGATGAATCGGAATGCACGAGACAAGCGCGCTGCACTACTCGCAAGAACTGCTCGCAAGTGGCCCGGCTCCTCCGCGGGGCATCTGCCATGACATCGGGGCCAGCATGCGTTTCCCTGACGCTTGCGAGTGGCCACTTCAGGAGTAGTGAAAGGCGCCCGGTGATGCACGGGCTCTGCTGCCGCTGTCCCTCGTCTGCGGCGCTCCAGGCAGGGCCTCGCCTTCGAGGATCGAGGGAGCCCGCTTCCCTCCCGCGGCGGACAGGCGGCGGAAGGCCGGCGAAGGGCGGCGGAAACTAAAACGAGGGCGGCGACGCTGGCGGAAGCTCCTGGAGGGCCGACGGGAGCGGGCGGAAGCACAAGTTGCGCTCCCAAGGTGCGGCAACTGTTGGGGGGATCCCGGGGATCCAGAGGCGGCCAAGGCCTTCCTGCTGGGGTTCGCACAGATGGGGTCGGAGGTTCGCGCCGCACTGGCGAGGCCGCACTGCTCTCGCACACATTCTGCTCGGAGCTGGTCGCTCAAGGGACGCCTGGTCCGAGTGATCGTCAAATCGTGTCCAGCCCGTATCGTCATGCCCCGCAGGCTGCGGTTGTCCGCCAGCCTCTGGAGAGGCCACACTGCCCTCGCACCCATTATACTCGGACCTGGTCGCTCAAGGAACGCCTGGTCCGCATGGTCGTCTCGCATCCCTTCGCTCATGTCTGGCCCCCGTGTTGCCCTGCCCTGCAGGCTGCGTTCGAGTGGAGATTAGCACTCTGTCGGCGTGAGGTGGGCATGGCATGTTTCACGAGATCTGCGTCATGAGATGAAATCTGGTGGACCAGGAGGACGTCGTCGCAGACGGTCAATCATAGCGCATGCCCCCGCGACAAGGGGCGTGTACGGATACATTGATACATGCTCATGCAACGATGTCACGCTTCAACGGCATCGGAATGCCATGTAGCAACCATACTGTGGTACAACGAAACGCTGTGTTGCTTCCCCATGCGGGGTGGCGGATCCGTGCGGCTGTTGGAAAACTACGCCGGCACACGTCCTGGAAAGGTCCCAGCGAGCATCTCGAATGAGACCAACCATGGCAGTGCATGAACGCCGGGCCAGTCTCAAGAGATGCGTAGCGACATGATCTCAAGCAGCGAGGGTTACAGTATTGCAGTCCGCCGCACAGATTCCCCCGACTGCGCGGAAGGGCGGATCTCGGGGGGCGGTGCACCACCGAGAGATACCTATCACTCGGAAGAAGTTGGTAGAAACATGAAGTAGGAAGACGTTGGACATATATTTGGTGGCCGCCCGCTCTATGAAGAGAAGGGGAAGAGGGAAAACCGTTGGACCCTTTGAAACAGGAAGGCGCCTGAAGCGTGTTGGGAGAGGGGACTTCGATGTTAGCCAGTGTGAACACCAAACAATGAATAATTAGAATTTGGCGGTGAACGCTATGCGGAGTAAGCTGTGGTGTAAGCGATGTGGTGTGAACTATGAAGGTGCAAGCTGCGCCGTGTAATACATGTGGTGCAAGCTATGCCGTGGACTATAAAAATGTATGTACACACACTGTGCGAGCTGGAAGTGGTAGCTGTGCGGTGTAAGCCGCGTGGTGCACCACACGTAGTGCAGGCTATGCAGTGTAAGCTAATGCGGTGTGAGATATAGCCGCGCAAGCTATGCGGAACAAGTTGGGAGGTGTAAGCTCAGCGCGCGGGGCACCCACGAGCGCCCACGAGGCGGCATGGGTGGCAACGTGGCGCAACCTCGGCGGCACCCAGCGCATGGGACGCTCACGAGCGCCCACGAGGCGGCACGGACGGCCACGTGGCACAACCTCGGCGGACCCACACGGCGCTGGCGAAACCTCGGCGGATCCCCGAGCGCGATGGGCTGCACCCAGGCGCCCGCGGGAAGCAACGTGGCGAAACCTCGCAGGACCACCCAAGCGCGGTGAGCGGCCACGAGGCGGCCACGGGCGGCAACGTGGCGAAACCTCGGCGACCCCCCAAGCACGGTAGACGGCAGGGAAGCGTCCACGGGCGGCAACGCGGCAAAACCTCGGTGGACCCCAAGCGCAGTGGGCGGCAACGAGGCGCCCACGGGCGGCAGCATGGCAGAACCTCGGCGAACCCCACCGAGCGCGGTGGGCGGCAACGAGGCGCCAACGGGCGGCAACGTGGCGAAACCTCGGCGGACCCATCCGAGCCCTTCGGGACACGAGGCAGGGAACCCTCTCTGCAGTTCCGATCTCTATGGGAGGGCGACGCCCCTTCCCTTGCGGCACGTCACAATCATTCCTCCCCTGCCTGCGCTCTGGAGGCGGCCGGCAATCTGGCGCGGTGGCCGCCCCTGGCCACGAACACGCGGAGAATGCTTCGGCACACACGAGACTCCCTGAAATCTTGGGGCCACTCTGGGCTCTAGTTGGGCCTTTGGGGTGCCTCGCTCGGGACTGCACTGGGGCTTCTTGGAGCCCGAGGAGACCACTGTGGACCGTCTTCCGACCTCGACGACCCGAGAGGCCAAGACATCCCAAGGGGTCATCAGGACAGCCCAACGGTGCCCGGACAAAAATTGTCCACGCCGACGGCGTGAAGACAATCAGACATGATGGCAACGACAATTGCAATATACATGTGGCTCGCCCCCCTCACCCCCAAGCCCAAAGTTGAAGTGTCCATATGTTGTCCCCCGCGCGTTGCCTCGCACCCAACCCCGTCAACTTTGGATTGGGGGGCGGGGGCTATGGATATTGGTTCGACGCAGTTCGATGTCGTATCATATTGGCGCGATGGGTGTGGACACTTTTTGTCCACCCACCGAAGGGATCCCTGAGAGGCTCACAACATGGGCACAAGAGATTACAGGATGCGCCTTAGACAGCCCAGAAAGCCCGCCCCCCCCCCTCCCCCCAGATAGCCTGGAGGGCTTTCAAGGGTGCGCCCAAGAGACTCCCCAAAGAAACCTCGAGAGGCCCCAAGTCAGACGGCCCATTCAGCCCCCCCTCCGCCTCCTCCGCCTCCGCCTCCTGCTCCTCCTCCCCCTTCTCCTCCTCCTCCTCCTCCTCCTCCTCGTCCTATTCCTCGTCCTCATATTCCTCCTTATTCTCCTTATTCTCCTCCTCCTCCTCCTCCTCCTCCTCCTGCTCCTCCTCCTCCTCTCCATCATATATGTCACGGCACGTACCCAATACCACTGCGTCGGATTCAAATATTAGCCATGGCTTCGTCCACAAGCACACCTCATGAGGGCGGCAGCGGGCGCGAGGACGTAGGCACGAGCCTTCAAATATGCGTATCACTCGCACGTTGTATAATCAAGGTAATTCCACACCAAACTTGGCATCATGATTCGCCTGGCCATGCAGTCAAACAATCAGCACGCGCACACACCTCGCTATCTGCCGAAAAGCCTTGGGAACCTCAGCGTGAGCATTCCGCTTGACCAGTGGATCACATGGCTGGCCATGGCAGCGCGGATGATGAGCTGGAGGAGGACGTGTGCGAGGAGAAAAGGGATGAGAAGGGGGAGGAGAAAGAGGCTAAACGCAACGGACGAGGCTGCTACAAGAGAGGAGGGGAAATACAAAATGGCGGTGGATGAGGAGAAAAGGGAACGATAAGGAGGATGAAGAAACAGAGGCGCAGGGACGAGACGACGCACCTGTGGAGGAGCACGTTGCGAGAGGAAGAGGAGCAGAGGGAGGAGAGGAGAGATGAGCAGGAGGAACAAGCACGAGGAGGGAGGAACATAACGAGAGACAGGAGGAGAGAAAAGGCAGAATCAAGGGATCCATGTCCAACGCCAGCCTCCGAGTCCAGCAACTTCTTGGCGGCACTGGTGGGTTTGCCGGTTTTGACCGTGGACGCCTGGGCGGGGTCGGGCGGGGAGAAGGCCGATCCCGCACCAACTCCTACACCCCCGTCCTCAACAGTCCCCGCCCCTCCTCTGCCTCCTCCTCCTCCTCCTCCTCCTCATCCTCCTCCTCCTCCTCCTCCTCCTTGTCCTCTTTGTCCTCCTCGTCCGCCTCCGTTCCCTCACTTCCCTCTTCCTCCTCCTCCTCCTCCTCCTCCTCCTCCTTCCTCCTCCTCCTCCTCCTCCTCCTCCTCCTCCTGCTCATCTTGCACTCCTCCTCCTCCTCCTCCTCCTCCTCCTCCTCCTTCTTCTCCTGTTCCTACTTTTGCTTTTCCGCCTCCTCCTGCGTTTCCTCTTCCTATTTCTCTTCCAATCGACCTGGCTCTCGCCTGAATGGCACGCCGAAGGTGCTAGCCTTTTCAGAGAGGGGGGGGGCGCATTTCGCAGAGAAGAGGAAGGCTTGCGAGGACTTCTGAAGATACGCCTTGGGACAGGAGGGTGTACTGCAACATCGCTAATGCATCTAGAAAATCATCTAGTCCTACGCCTCGTCCTGGTGCTCCTGCTCCTGTTCCTCCTCCTCGCCATCCTCCTCCTGCGCCCCCCAAAGGTTGCCGCCCAGAAAAGGGCTGGTTCGCACTCGCATTCCGAGGGAATCACGCCGCGGACGCGGAGGGGTAGGAGGGGAAGAAGGGAGGTACTTTTTGAATATCAGCCTGTGAACCACAGACAGAAAAGAAAGGAGAGGAAGGGGAGGTGGGATTCGGAGACGTTCTGAAGGGAGGTATCCCCCACGCCGGGCGAAGCACATGGCCACGCGCTGTTAGCTCAGCCTCCAAGGGGACGAGGATGCGGCATTGCGCGCCGCAGCCCCTTGAGGTGTCTGTCCGCCAACAGCGCTGTCATGTCTGCCGTCATCTCTACGTCATCACAGCCGAATGCCTCTGTTGAGCCTAGCGCCGCGTACGACGCTGCCTGCTCGCAAGCCCTTGGCTGCCAGGAGACCCCGACTCTCCCCAAGAGCTATGTTGCTCTTCTTTTCTGTTTACTAAAACTCTTTAACATAACATAACAGAACCACCACAAACCTCGATCCTCGAACCTCCTCGCTATCGACGGTGCACCGCAGGTGCAAGAACGATGAACTTTGCTTAGCGTGTCGCGGCGGCAACCTCAGCGGCACACTGTGCCCTGCGAGCTGCTACCGTAGCGTGTCGCTCAGCTCCGCGGGGCGGGAGGCTGGGAAAAGCTCGGGGCGTAGACGCCCCGTAACCGGGACGTGGTATGTCGCGCCGATGCGAGGCACGTGGCCAAAATGCGGCGCGAGACGTTGAGATAAAGTTGGGGACCAAGCGGCGAACATGGTGTGTAAGCTACTTGATGTGAGCTATGAAACGGGCAAGCGACGCAATTCAATGTATGCGGTGTAAGATATGTCGCGGAATATCTATGGTGTGAGCTGGAGGTGAACGCTGAGGGGTGTAATCCACGCGGTTGTAATACACGCAGTGTGCCTTAGGCGATGCAGGCTAAGTGGTGCAATATACGTCGTGTAAACTATGTGCTGAAGGCTAGGTGATGCAAGTTCGGTGGTGCAATTGATGCGTTATAAGCTATAGGTGTACAAGCTCATCCATGTCCTCATCTTCTTCCTCCTCCGCCTCCTCCTCCTCCTCCTCCTCGTCTCCCTTCGTATTATCATGTTCAGGCTGCTGCTGCGGCTCTGGACACGTCTGTGCAGACGAGCTTCGACGTGATCTCCTGTGCAAGAAATGCCCACGGGCGATCCACTATTGGGACGCTGGCGCCGTAGCGGATGAGACGAACACCGCAATGGCTCGCCCCAAAATTACGGCAATCCGTTGCCGCCAGTCGCGGAGCGGCAATCATGCACAACCTGTGCCACGGAGATGGCTCTGGTGCCGGGCAAGGCTTGCGACATGCTGCAGCAGACACGTCAGCTGCGGTCCGCGCCGCCCGCCGAACTCGAGCGTAAGGTCCTGCGCGCTGGTGCCGCCTCGAGTTTTAAATTTCTTTACTTTCGCAGCCTCGGCAGAGGACGCGCCAGCACCGGCGGTCGCCGAATGTCCGCGGCGGTTTTGCGCTAACGACTGCGAAGTCACCGTGGGAAACTGGGAGCGAGAAGTGGCCCCAGAGCTGGACGTCCACGCGCGGCTCACACACGGTTGCAGGGCCAGCTCTGGAAGCACGACCTCGCGTGTTTGCTGCACGGCCGGCTGTGCGAGCGCGCGCCGCAAACTCATCGCAGACTTCATCATGCAGACGGTTGCGGGCTCCACCGATCATGCAAAAGATCGCGTGATCTCCAAGCTCGTCGAGTGCGCGGCCGCAGACCTTTTTCAGCGCGCGCGCGGTGCTGGCAGAAGCATGCAACGCCGAAAACCGGCAGCCGGAGACGCTGGCGGGCATTGATGCGGAACTCATCGCCCTTCCAGGGGGCCGATTCCCCTGTGGCGTCGGCTGTAAGTCCAAGCCCGCCTGCCGGACCATATCCAGACAACCAATGATTCCGCTGCCCATGCGCCCCTGCAAAGAGCGCGGCACTGGCCGCTCGGAGCACGCATAGTTTACGACGGTGCCGCAGCGCTGCGCCTGCAGCTACCGCATGTTCGAACGAAAATGCGTGGGCACCTGTTTGCGCATCAGGCTCCGGCTGCGACGTTCCCCACGCGTCGAAAAACACCTCGCCCGCCGCTAGTAAGCCAAGGCAATCCTCAGCAGCAGCGGGCATGCTGGAGCGCTCGTACCCTGCGTCGAAAAAGCTGGTTGCAAATGGAAAGCAAGCTGCCGAGAGGATTTCGGCCACGCGCGGAGGAGCGCGGCGAGATACGAACTACTCCGACGGAAGGACCCCACATGAGAATCCTCATGGCGAATCTGGAAAAAGCCCTCACCGTCGTCCTCGTGGTTGGTGTGGCGTTCTGGCTGTCTCTTCTGCGTATGATTCTTCTCGCCCTGCCGCGGGCCCTCCCCCCGCTCCCTACGTTGCCCCCGACCTCGCCCTCCTGTTTTGGTTCCGGACATTCAAAAACTGGCCCAGGAGTGGTGTTCTGGGAACACGAAGAACACGAAGTGGCCTACAGTTGGCTCCCGGCATTCAAAATGTGGCACGGGAATTTGTGTTCTGGGAGCACGAAGAACACGAAGTGGCCTACAGTTGGCTCCGGGCATTCAAAATGTGGCCTGGGAATGGCGTTCTGGCAGCGCGAAAGCCCAAAAGCGGCGACAGTTCTAAGAATTTGATAGCCCATTCGGGTTAGTAATATGATCCGCGGGCCCCATCGGGAGGAGGCTCCAGCTTGAGACTTCCTCGCAATTCACTCACAAATGTGGCCTGGTAGTAGCGTTCTGGCAGCGCGAGAAACCAAAAGTGGCGACAGTTACAAGAATTGGATGACCCGCTCGGATTAATAACATGATCCGCGGGCCCCATAGGGAGGGGGCTCCCGCTTGAGACTTCCTTGCAATTCACTCACAAATGTGGCCTGGTAGTAGCGTTCAGGCAGCGCGAGAGCCCAAAAGTGGCGACAGTTACAAGAATTGTGTGACCCGCTCGGATTAGTAACATGATCCGCGGGCCCCACAGGGAGGGGGGTCCCGCTTGAGACTTCCTTGCAATTCACTCACAGACGAGGCCCAAGGCGAGTGAGTGAGTGAGTGACTGACTGACTGACCGACTGGTGATGATGATCATTATCACACTCTCTCACGCGCACACTCATCATCATGAACATCATCATCATCATCCTCATCATCATCATATGTGAGTTCATGAGCGTGTGAGTGAGTGAGTGCTGATGAGTCAGTGAGTGAGTGAGTGCGTGAGTGAGTGAGTGAGCTAGTGAGTAAATGAGTGAGCGCGCGAAGACAGAAGAGGAGAGGGGGTGAGGTGAGGAGGTTCCTGCGCGGGGTGTTCAGAGAAAACAAGGATCCCACTTTGGAGGTGGGGAAGATGGACCTCAAGGACCATGGGTCGAATCGCCATGGCTCCATGGCTGATCATTGCAGTCAGAAGGCTGAGACCGGCCTGCCATCGCGGGTCCGTGCAAGCAGGCCCCAAGAAAGCCGCCCGGACAAGGTCGCTGACCGCGTTGTCCATGCAACGCGCGCACGGCAGAAAAGCCAACGGCTTCACAGCACAGGCGTCGTAAGACAGAGCGCGGTTCAAGACCAAACAGACAAGTTCCCAGAGAGGGCCCAACTTACGGCAAGTGAGCCCTGCGTGCGCACATCGCTTTAAAATCGAAGCGAATGCGATCGTTTTCTCGCGCCGCTTTTGCGCTGGGCCGAGGCCCCGTCAAACCTAGGATGCGCGCTGCATTCGCCCTCGGCTTGCGCGCCAAGAAGAATAAGACCAGACGCGTGGAATTCAGCATGCGGGCGCAGCTCGGCTGCGAGCTCGCCTGCGAGGACCGAGTCAGACCGGGCAGCCGGCACGTGGGCTTTGGTCTTGTCGACGCGCAGCGTCAACCCCGTGCCGCAGAGCACCGCGTCACGATCCGCATCGGTTGCAGACAGCGCTCACGCGGAACTGCGACGCAGAAGCCGTCGACGAATAGGTGGGGACGTGGGCGTGAGGACTCATCTGCGAACGCCTGGGAGTAGGCCTCAGAGGTGTCGCGCATGCTGGACGAGAATGCGAGGCCGAAGTCTGATGTTGCGCTGCAACAGTCCTGGCAGCAACCCTCCTGCATCTCCACCATCTTGAACTGCCCCCCCACCTGGACGTAGCACAGCTGCGCCAGTTCCCTGAGCCACATGTTGTGCTGCAGGGTCGCCGCGCTCGGAGAGCAGGCGCGGGCCTGCTCGTAGGCGTCCTGGCGGCGGACAGTGCCGAAGGCGTTCTCGAAGTCGAGCCCGAAGTAGACCTGGTGCGGGTGGGCCACCATGTCCGCCTGGACCTCGGCGATGAGGGCGGCAGTGCCGCTATCTGTGCCGAGCGCATGCCGGTTGCTGCCGACGTGCGCGGAAGCCCTGTGGAGCTCCGCGCGGCTGATGGCGCCCGCGGCGAGCTTGAACAGGACCTCTTGGAAGACGATGGGGCGTGCTTTACCCCCGCCCTTGTCCGAGGCGATGAGCTGCATGCGGAGCCAAGGCTGCCGGATGAAGGCTGGCAGCTGCCGGCAGGCCGACGTCGACGCCCACCTCGACAATGTCCGCGCCGCGCGCGGGCTCCGGATGGGCGCCTGGACGTGGGAGTTACGCTCCCCGCTGGGCCCAGCGCGCGCCAGTGCACGAGCGTTCTGGACGCACGCGCGGACCTGCTTGAACTCGGCGGGGCTGCACTCGGACACTGGCGGGGCTGGCGGTCGCGAGGCGCGAGCCTCAGCGGAAGCAGACGGCAGCAGCGCGGTCAGCTTGTCGCACGTATCCTCCGTCGGCGGGAGGAGCGTCGCCCCTGTCAGCAGGCGCTTCGCCTTTCGGAGGTCGCCTACGTCGCCGGCCTCCAAGGCACGAGCCCACGTCGACATAAAGTCTGCTGGGTGGCCGGCTCCCCGACTGCAGCGGCGGCAGCAGGAGCAGGCGGCGGCAGCACTGACGAGATCAAGTCACTGAGCCGCACTGACTGACGAGCTGCATTTTCACACGAAGGAGGCGGGCGAAGCTCTGCTGGGGCTGGTCTTTTTCCCTGCCAGTCTCGTCAGGGCCTGGCTGTAGTGCGGCATGCTCGTCTGGCTCGGCAAGGCGCTCGCGAAGCAGGAGGTGCGGCACCACGAGTGCCAGGAGGTTGAGCTCCTCCTGCACCAGCGGCGGGAGGTCAGAGTCCAGAGCATCCACTACAACCTTGTCGAGGAGCGTTCTGGCGAGCGATCCGCGCGGGCACCCACCTCGCCAGCGGTACGCGGACTGTTGGAGGCAGCGGCAGGAGGTGCCTGCAGGGACGGCTCCTGCAAGGGCGGGTCAACCGCTGCTGCCTGTGCCGCGCTCTGCTGCTGTTGCGGTCGCTGCTGCTGCTGGGAGGCGCAAAGCCTGCAGACGACCGTGGGCCAGGAGAAGCACCGGTAGATCCGCTTCTGGTACTCGATTCCGCCCTTGCACTCCACGCATTTCAAGAGAGACTCGTCTCTCTTAGCACTGCCACCTGTCCGCGGCAGCTGGCATTGAGCGCATGTCGTCACATGTCGCCGCCGCCTGCTGGACGAGGCCTCCGCGTCGTCGGCCAATCACGGGGCCATCAGCGCGTGGCCTAGTGACGGATCCTGGTTGGCCAAATTGGTCTCCACCAGCGGCGTCGGGCAGTCGTCGGAAATCTGCTCGGGCCCTGGGTGCCGAGCCTCGCCGACGCGAGCGCCGCACCAAGGGCTCCGCAATCTGCAATCGCGCGGCGGCAGCGCCAT